GGTGGCATGTGCCTATAGTTGTAGCTACTCAAGAGGCTGAGGTAAGAGGCAGAAGTGCAAGGCTGAAGTGAGCTATGATCATGCCAATGCATTCCATCTAGCCTAAGCAACAGAGCAAGACCCTATCTCTAAAAATAAATAAACCGATAAGCTATAGCTAAGTTAGTAATAACTACCTTTAAAATTCTAACAGAGGATAATATCGATTTGAGTAATAACTCTCTCTCCCACATGGTATGGCTAGACTTGCATCAATTAAATGCTCTCTCTACTGCAATATCGTGAATTAATTTTGTTTATACAGTGAGCAGGAAGAACTCGTCACACAGTTACAAATTTGGGGGCTTATCCAGGATCCATTCTTGCAAATGTCCACCCAGGCTTCGTCAGCCTCCTACCAGTATAGCAGATCTAGAGGTAAGCTCTGGCAACTGCTTATTTCTACTGAAGGCCATCTCTGGCACTGTACCTGCTGGTGAGACACTGTCGACTCATAAGGCATGGATCTAATTGCAGTGAAGAAATAGTCCTGGAACCTGTCTGAAACACCTCTTATTAAAAAATCTGTTTGCCTTCATCACATACAAAGGCCTAACCCATCTGCAATGCCACCTCCTGATATGGAAAACAGCTGTTCACCCAAATTCATCTAGTCTCAGGACTAGGAAACTAAAAAGATAAGGGATGGTATATTTAAACTTGCTCTTTCCTGTTTATCTGAATTATTTCTCACAATCTACTCATTATCCTATAGTCTGCAGTTCCCTAATGTGCTATGCTAAAACTGTAGGTGAGAATATTAACATCTTTGTCATGTAAGCCTTGGAACCCCAACCAGGTACCTGTGAGTACATGCAGACAGCTGCAAAGCAGTTCCACTGCTCTCACCCTAGGGGCAACCCACACCCCAACTATGACATTAGGAAAAAGTTAGAGTAATCCTCCCCCTTTTCCCATCTCATAACTTACACCTCAGGATTGAGGCATGCTGAAACTCAAAAAGCGAAAGTGAAACAGCCTTTGCAAAAATTATCAAAGTGAGAAAATTATGGCACTGGGGGAGACATGACCTAGCCTACACCCCTGTAGCCTCTAACCTTCAAGCTCCCTTAATTATTCCTAGGCTTAGGCCAGGCTAGCTTTAGGAAACATTTACTTCATAGTTTAAGTAAAAATAGTCCTTCCCCAAAACTCAACTGTCTTTACAAAGCTAATGAGAGACCACCAGGCTACGAGGACAAAGAAGCCTAAATTTTGCTAAGTTGTAGACATTAACAGTTGCCAGCCATTATTCCAGAGGTCACAAGACATGCAACTTCCCCCAATATTCCTGCAGATATAACCACTAGTGTAGAACCTAACGGTGGCCTTGTAAGATACCTTTACAGGTTTTTTGCATGTCTGAAACCAATGATGGTTCCACCTGGACCCACCAACTGCTCCTGTGGTCCCACCCAGAAGAGATTAAGCATGCAAGAGGATAATTTCCCACACCTCTGTGATTGCACTTTCCAAACAATCACAAGCAAGTACCCATTGCCTAGCCACCCCTAACTATTCCCTCAAACAACTTTTGAAAATCCCTTAATCTATGAGCCTTCAAGGAGAATGATTTAAGTAATAAGTCCATCTTCAGTGTGGTGTGGCTGGCCTTGCATCAATTAAACTCTTTCTCTACTGAAACACCATCAATTGATTTGGTTTGTGCAACAGGCAGAAAGAACCTGTCAAGGGTTACAGTATCTGGCCCACAATATGTTCAGCTGTCTCCAGAAAAATATTTATTCAATTGCTCTTCATATAAAAAAGGGAATCAATTACCTACACAGCCATTGGGCACAAGATGTGCTTTGTTGGCAAGATCAAAAATGTGAGGCTCTAAGAATTCCTAAGAAATGAGAAAAAGGGGAGCATTGAAAATCCAAGTGCTGTGATTTCTCATCACATTAAAGTAACAATGAGACCCTCTACTGAAATGATGAGCATACTCACATAGCCTTCTAAAGTGTCAGCACTGGCTTCCTCAAGCCTCTGCAGGACAAACATACTCATCCCTTGGAGATCTGCTATCTTTGTGGCTCACAGACACTAATTCCAGAGCCATAGTCTGTCCCCAGGTGATGACAATGGGAAGAAGGACAACACCGCAACTACTGCAATTGCATCACAGAATGGATCTTCGCAGGCGGGCTGCAGTTGAACATCACCTGCCAAGTCAAGCATGGAGTTTCCGCCACGATAGACCCCTTCTGGGACATTGGCTTAGATCTGCCTGGCTCTTCCACCATCTTGTGGCCCGTGAAGTCAGGGAGTGAAGGCAGTATGGTGAATGGGGAAAGCCACATGTTGGGAACCACCACACCTTATGGACTGCTTGCAAAGGTGAGAAGCCCACCAGCACTCACGTGGCAAGGAAGTATCTTCCTACGGAAGGCTGTTGTTGATCAGGACCAAAGCGGGGCTTTTATTTCACATACTATCCAGGATGGAGCCTTGAGAAAAGATGTGGCCTGAAGTTGGCTGCAGTCGCTCTTGCCAGTTTATGCTGTTTCTTTTTTAATTTTTTCTTTTTTTACCAGATGACTAAATATTGGTGTTCACTAGCTTTGCATTGTGTAGGGTATCTGTAACACTAGCTACTATTTCAACTTCCTACATGTAAGTGATCTCAGAGCAAAAGAGCAAAACTGGAAGCTCCCTTATCTTTTGTGGTTAATAACCTAAACCACAGTGTAAGCTAAGAGCTGAGTGCTTTCCCCATAGTCCATGGCCTTTTTTACTTGTGATTAAAATATAGTTGTGGTGTTCTGTACTTATAATTATTTTTGAAATTGTCCATTTACTGCTTCAGACTAGATAATAAGATTTAAGATGTAACTATTATAAAATGTATTTAAATAGCTGTAGCATACAGCTTACAATTATAGAGAGAGCAGAAAACCTTCCTAAACTTTATGTTAATTGAGTCTAATGTTTTAAAGTCTTTCTTTTACATGCATTAATTAAAGGTTATTGCAGAAGAAAAAAAAAAAAACCCTAGTAGAAATACAATGAAAACACAGTCTAATGCTATCTTTTGTGTTAAATTACGTTTAAGAACAAGAAAAACCTTCAGTTGAACAATTAGAATTTATTGTCATACATTGATTGTGGAAAATACTAACAGCAATATTTGGATTTAATTGTTTATAACTATCATCTTGCAAAACCTCTAAGAAATAGGAAGGTTCACTCACAAGTACCTAAAATAAGATGACAGGCTACTTTTGAACATAAGCATCATGATGCATACTATATGAAAATTTGGTTTTTTACTCATAATAATATTTCAGTTATTATTGACCCTTAACTTGTAAGTTGCACCTAGACCAAAAACTATAAATTAACAATAAATATCTGCTGAGAAGCATCATATCTTTGCACTGCCCTGAGTATGGGTGACTCCTGAAATGGGTACATCCCATGTATATAATGTATGTGTAAAAATATATATATTTCAACTGTTCTCAATAAAATCTTTCTACCCATCATTCTCCTGTGCTCAAAATGCACACCAAAACCCCAATAATGTTTAAGTATTTAAAGATATTGGCTCCTGAAGGGCATGAAGATTATAAGTCAAAATGAGCTTCATCACCACCAGTGTGGATCTGTCTTTTAGCAACTGAATTGTCACTTAGGGGGCCAAAGAGAACAGCTCCTGGATGGATATATAAACTCCTTCAAAAATTACTCTTCCATAAAAGAAATATTTGATGTTGACCTGCTGGCAACATGTTTTTCCTGTTCTAAATCCTTATAAGTAAATCTTATACAAAATGTCTGGTGGGTATGAATATTCTGTTAAACTTAAAAAGATCACGTGATGGACACTGAAAAACTCAATCTCAAAATTTTAAAATTATTTTTCAGATACAAAATAACTATAACTTGTGTTAATATTCTGTGAAACTTAAAAAGACCACGTGATGGACATTGCAAAACTCAATCTCAAAATTTTTAAATTATTTTCAGATACAAATAACTTGTGTTAAGTGCACAGCAATTAAATTATATAATTTTTCTCATAAAACATAAGAAAGCAACATCTTTTTAAAATATTCAATGTTTTCAAAACACTGTTTCCATCTTCCAAAGTTCAGGCTTTAGATTAAACATTGATGCAAATATGAATACCCTTCATTGATCTTCAACAATAATATACTCAACCCCTTAATAGGAGAGGACAACCTCATCCTGATCAGATACTATAGGTGTCACTGAAGAATTCTAAATATGCCTTTAAATGCTCAATAAAATATTCTATATAAATAGAACTGAATACATCTGAGAATCTATGAAGCTTTATCTGTTTGCTGATATTTTCAATTCCTAAGCATAATCTGAGATGCTAAAAAGTTGTCAGCATCTCACTTTTTATACTGATGACCCAGAAAAATTACTCACTTAGATGGTTCATGTCTGTCATTTTTGATAAATTGTAAATTTAATGTTAAAGTATGAATTGTTTTTCAGTTTAAATGTAAAGTAGCCCCCACTTAAAATCTAAACTGTGTAAACACATGATCATGAGCAATTCTGCATCACTTGACGTAAGAAGGTCTGAAACAAGGTGAGACCTTATTATGATGAACAGTGTAATATTGTCATAGTCTATCAATAAATGATCTCTAAATGGGACCCATCAAATGTTAAAAGAAATCTTTCTGTATTCTAAAGAATAATCTATCAAGTAAATCATTTTCTTGATATCTTCATCAGCTTTCACCTTTAATTTACTAAGGATAACTTGCTAGAAATATTAAATGAAAATGATTAATATCACTAATTATCCTTCCTTTCCAATAAAAGTTATATTTTAACTTACTTATTATTGACATTCACACTACAATGTCACTTGCAATTTTTTAATAAAATCACTTGCCGCTATTTCATAGAACTTCTAGAAAATTTCTTGACTAACATCCTCTTTAAAAACAATGTTAAATTAAATCACTTACTTCAAACAGCCCACTCTTACTGCTACAGGAATGTGGGGGAGTTGGGTGGCCCACTTCAGTGTCACATCTTGATAAATATGCAACATGTTATTATGGTTTCCAATCAAAGTATTTATTGTCCCTTCAGAGACTGTAGGTTGAAGATACAGAAAAGAGACACTAAGAAAACAGTCATTTGGAACAGCATGCCTCTGTTAGGAAATGTATAACACAAACTAATTCTAACATCTTGATTTTAATACATAAAGATTTTAAGTAATAAGACTTTTTTTTGTAACTTTAATCTACCAGTATAAAAAAGAAAGAAATCATTTTACAGTCTTGGATGCTATAACTAGATAATCGCCAACATTTTTGTATTTCATCTAGAAAGCATGAATTTCATTAATATGTAACACATTTAAGCTAATGATTTACTAGGCATTCACTACAGATAATTCATTCTATTAGACATTACAATTGTGCTTAAAAAAGAGTCTGATGTTCTCTTGAAAGCATCTTGAGCAGCCACATTATGGAAAGTATTAATGTATGCCAAAGGCCAATTTTACAAGAAATTTTGTACAAAGTAAAATGACTGACAAAATGAAACGTGTGCTTTATATCAAACTTCTAATCAAACTCTGAAAGTTAAAATTTCCATTACATATTCAGTATTAAACTATTTTCATATATGTTTAAAATATGTGTATGAGTGTGGCTTTTTCTGGTGTATATCACATAACCTTTTCATACGGAAGAGATGAAAGAAAACCTTTCTACACACCTGAGCAATATGGCAGAAAACAACTTGGGCTCCAATCAAGCTTCTTCATAAATCGAATTTGTCCATTATCCTTAAGGCAAAAAAAGTTTCTCTCACCAAGAACAAAAACAGAAGATGCTGACTGATTGAAAGAGACAATACATATATCAAGGGCTTGCTCTCCAATATTTAGAGTCCAATCCACCTACAAAGCAAAACTCAAGATCAATTTAGTTGCTAAACTGAGAACATATCAGTTATTTTCATATCAACATAAATTAATAAACTGCTTTACAAAAAAGCAGAAATATAAAGATGGGCTAATCTCTTTCGTTTCTTTATGCTTTTTTTCTCACTATGATCATTTTTCTGATATTTTACAAGATGCTAATCAGTTTTGTTCCATGTCTTACCAGATAATATTAGCTATTCTGCAGTTCAAAACACTAAAAAATTTATGTGATTCCCTAAAAATTTTCCATGAAAATATTGTGCTTAATTTGCAAATCAAATTTAATAATCTGTAGAAACTATAGTATTATTATTGTACATGTGTTTTTATATGTCAACTAAAAATATATCAATATGCATATACAGAGTAGTCACAAAGCCACTAGACAGTAAAGCAGAATATACATAAGAGCTGCTCCAGAGTATTTTCATATTGCGGGAATACAGTTAATGTTCAATAAATGCTTCTTAAAGTAATGAAAGAATGAATGTAAAATGATGTATAAAATGAGAGCTTTTCAGGATTCATCTCCCACACAATTAATATTTCCAAGTCAGTCAGGAAAATGAAAAAGAGCAAAAATATACCATTTTGAAAAATATTGGCAGACAGGTATGTATTTTTTAAGTTTTTCTTCTTTTAAAAAGTATAGAACACTTCACAAATTTGCATGTTATCCTTGCACAGGGGCCATACTAATCTTCTCTGTATCATTCCAATTTTAGTATACATGCTGCCAAAGCGAGCACATTTTTTTCAGTTTTTCTAACTTTTACTTCAGGATCAGAGATACATAGGAAGGTTTGTTATATAGGTAAATGCATTTCACAGAGGTTTGGTGTACAGATTATTTTATCACCCAGGTACTAAGTGTAGTATGCAACAGTTATTTTTTCTGATCCTCTCCCTCTTCCCACCTTTCACCTTCAAGCAGGCCTCAGTGTCTGTCATCCCCTTCTTTATGTCCTTATGTTCTCATTATTTAGATTCCGTTTGTAAGTGAGAACATGTGATATTTGGTTTTCTGTTCCTGCATTAGTTTTCTAAAGATAATAGCCTCCAGCTCCACCCATGTTCCTGCAAATGACATCTCATTCTTTTTTACGGCTGCATAGTATTCTGTGGTGTATATGTACCACATTTTCTTTATCCAGTCTACTGTTGATGGGTATTTTGATTTTTTTAATTTGCTGAGGATTGTTTTATGTCCAATTGTGTGGTTGATTTTAGACTATGTGCCATGTGGTGATGAGAAGAATAAATATTCTGTTGTTTTGCGATGCAGAGTTTTATAGATGTCTATTAGGTCCATTTAGTCAAGTATTAAATTCAGACCTTGAATATCTTTGTGAATTTTCTGCCACAATGATCTGTCTCATACTGTCAGTAGGGTGTTGAAATTTCCCACTATTACTGTCTGGCAGTCTAAATCTCTTAGTAGGTCTCTAAGAAATTGCTTTATGAATCTGGGTGCTTCTATGTTGGGTGCATATATATTTAGGATAGTTAGAGCTTCGTGAAATTGAACCCTTTACTATTATGTAATGCCCTTGTCTTTTTTTGTCTTTGTTGGTTTAAAGTCCATTTTGCCAGAAATAGGCTTGAAACTCCTGCTTTTCTCTATTTGCTTAATAGAGTTTTCTCTATCTCTTTATTTCAGCTTACAGGTGTAAATAAAGCATGTGAGATGAATCTCTTGAAGACAGCGTACCATTGTGTCTTGCTTTTTGATCCAGCTTGCCACTCTGTGTCTTTTAATTGGGACATTTAGCCTGTTTACATTCAGGATTAGTACTGATATGTGTAGATTTGATCCTGTCATTGTGTTGTTAGCTGGGTATTATGCAGACTTCTTTGTGTGGCTGCTTTATATGGTCATTAGTCTGTGTACTTAAGTGTTTTTTGTATTAGTTAGCAACAGCCTTTCTTTTTCATATTTAGTGCTTCTTTCAGGAGCTCTACTAAGGCATGTCTGGTGGTAACAATTTCCCTTCCCATTTGCTTGTCTAAAAAGGTCCTTATTTCTCCCTCACATATGAAGCTTAGTTTGGCTGGATATGACATTCTTGGTTGAAGATTTTTTTTCTTCATGAATATTGAATACAGGCCTCCAATCTCTTCTGGCTTGTAGGGTTTCTGCTGAAAGGTCCACTATTAGCCTGATGAGGCTCACTGTGGAGGTAACCTGACCTTTCTCTCTAGTTGCCTCTACATTTTTTCTTTCATTTGACCTTAGAAGATCTGATGATTTTGTGTCTTGGGGATCATCATTTTGTACAGTATCTTGTAGGGGTTCTCTGTATTTCCTGAATTTGAATATCAGCCTCTCTAGTGAGATTGAAGAATTTTTCATGGAAGATATCCTGAAAGAGGTTTTCCAACTTGCTTGCTTTCTCCCCATCTCTTTCAGGGATGCCAATGAGTTATACAGTTGGTCTCTTTGCATAATGCCAAATTTCTTGGAGGTTTTGCTCATTTCTTCTTCTCTTTTATTTTTGTCTGACTGTCTTACTTCAGAAAGTCAGTCTTCAAGCTCTTTCCAAAAACAAAGATTAAAAAAAAAAGAGTCTTTCCACAGCTTGGTCTCTTCTGCCATTAATACTTTTGATTGCATTATGAATTATTATAGTGTGCTTTACAGCTTTATCAAATCCAGTTAAGTTCTTTTCTATACTGGCTATTTTGTCTGTCAGCTCTTGTATCATTTTACTGATTTTTAGATTTCTTGGATTAAATTTTGACATTCTCCTAAATTTCAATGGTCTTTCTTTCCTATCCATATTCTGAATTCTATTTCTGTCATTTTAGCCATCTCAGTCCAGTTAACAACTCTTGCTGTAGAACTAGTGTGATCATTTAGAGGAAGAAAGACACTGTGGTCTTTTGAGTTGTCAGAGTTCTTGCACTGGTTCTTTTTCCTCTGTGTACATGGGTGTTCCTTTACCTGAGGTGTAAATTGAATACAGTCAGTAGATTTCTTTTCCGGATGTTTTCAGAGGGCTGAAGCTTTCTGCAAGGTCTTTATTTGTAGCTGAATTCTTGCTTTTGGTTTCAAAGTGGGGTATGTTAACAAATGTATTGGTGAGTGGGTAGGCTCTTGCTCACTCATGTGGCTCCTCTGTATTTTCTCTCTTTTTTTCAAGATGTAGTCTCACTCTGTTGCCCGGGCTGGAATGTGGTGGCGCAATCTCAGCTCACCGCAATGGTTGCCATCAGGCTCCCTATCAATGCTCTGAACATGTGGGCTCTTCTCCTACTTCTGTGCTGGCTGAAGATCACAGCTTGGCACCCCCAGGCACTGCTCTGCCTCTCTGGGGAGATCTCAAGCCTTATGTTCCCTCCCCAGCTTGGAGGCAGCAGTGGAAGGGACCTTAGCAGCAGTTGGGGCCAAGGGTCTTGTCTCCTGGGGCTTCACCTGAGAAAGATGCAGAGCTGCAATCAAACCATAATCAGCCCAAAATGGGAGGGCTTTACTAAAGGCCCCAAGCCAGGGTCCCTGGCAGGCATATATTACATATGAAAGGAACAGTGAGATGGTTTCACAAAGAAAAATCTGCCCAAAGAGGAAATAGGGCTGCTGTCAAAGTTAGGCTATAATCAACACACAGATCCAAAAAAAGATCATGAAAAGTTACATTAAAGACAAGATGAATTTTTGGCCATCAAGACATGATCTTAAGTATTCATCTACTTTAGATATTAAAATATTCGAAGAAGGTGTAAAATCCAAATGGGGCTAGCCAGAAAGGCAAATATTGCCAGCATACATATAAGAACAATCTATAGGGGGGAAACAGCCTAGTGAACATATGTAGGTACATCAGACTATCTTAAGTTGAACTAGAATTCAACACTAAGAAATTATTTGATTACTATTTAGTTCAAGCATAGCTTACCTATATAAAAAAATTCCACTGGACAAGACATGAATGTCCATCCCATGACCGTTATATTTCTTATTACATTGTAACAGGCCAGCATTCACCTTTGGGTGTCAGTGTCTGTAACTCAGGCTATGTGTACCTTACTCTAAGAGGTGATTTATTCAAAGTGAATAGACAAATTATGTTTCTGAGTCCACAGTCTGAGATCCAGCCACTAAATATTTCCAATTGCAAGACAGTGAATTCCACTATCTGTGACCTCCACTTAGGGAAATACACTACAATTCTGAATTAATGAGTATCATAAAACACTGAAATTTGCTAAGAATGACAATAAAAAAATTCTTCCACTTCCAGCCAAGATGGAGTAATGGGAAAGGATTTAGCATCCCACCTAAAACAACCACAAAATGAACAAAACAAATGAAACAATAGTATGCAAGGCACTGGACACCAGACAACAAAGCACAGCAATCCCTTAAAGACAGAAAACAAATGAGGTGAGTGGCCTTACACCTCCAGCCTTGAAAGGTGTAAGGCTTTCACCAAGGCTGATTGCTCTAGCCTTGAAAAAGTTTCTAGGCCATAGCACAGGGATGAAGAACCTAGGCAGAGCCCAGCAGACTCTGAATCATGGAGACGGATACTCAGAGTCTAGAGAAACCACAGCAGCAGTTGGATTTAACAAGACAGCATACCAAACAGCTGCATACAAAAGCTGCATACAGACAGAACTATGAAGATCTACAAAGAGTGCCCTCGAATATTCAGCTGAGTACTTATTGGCAAATTCTTGTAAGGAAACTACACAAGGCCAGGTAAAGAACCACCCAAAAAGATAAGAGACAACAGTGCCCAGCATTCACACAGTGTATAAAATACCTCCTCTGCCTATCAGCCAGGCTGGAAAATCTCATAATTCTGGGTAAATTGGGTACAGTTCAAGAAGGATCTTGCCTGAGGAGTAGGGAATAAGTAGCCCGAAAATGAGGACTGCCCTGGTCCCACTTAACAAGTCCTGAGAACAAAGCTCCAAAAAATCAAACTGTTTCCAAGTAACTTAACTGTGTCCCAGGGATAACCTCAAGAACAGTATACACATAAAAAATGAAAAATTCATCAACAGCAGGCCCACATTAAAAGAAATGTGAAAGGAAATACTTTAGTTTGAAGGAAAATGACACCAGATGGAAATATGGAGTTATACAAATTAAAGAAGAACAGCAGAAATGGTACCTACATGGGTAAATACATATTATTCTCATAATTAAAATCACGTTAAAATATAATTAATTATTTAAGAAAAATAATTATAATATGGGATTCACAGCCTATGTAAAAATAAAATATATGACAATAGCACAAAGGCTGGAAGGTGGGAAACAGAAGCATAGCTCTTACATTATACATAAGGTAATATATCACCTGAAAGTAGACTGCGTTAAGCCAAAGATAAATACTGAAAACCTAAAGTAAACACTAAAATAATAAAACAAAGAGTTATAGCTAAACCAACAAAGGTAAAAAGAATCACAAAAAATGCTGGATAAATCCAAAGGAAGGAGAAAGAAAGAAAACAAAAAAACCTAGATAGACATATAGATAAATAAAACAGAATTAAATGGCAGAGTATATATTATGCTGATTTTAAAAAGCAAATCCCAACCAACTTGATGCTGCTTACAAATTACACACTTGAAGTGTAAAGGCACAAACAGGTTCAAAGTGAAAAGATAGAAAAAGTTATCAGAATAACACTAAGCAAAAGAAAACTGAGTATTTTACCAACAGATTAAATAGCTTTCAGAAAAAAAGATTATCAAATAAAAGGATAAAGGTCATTTCATAATGTAAAGGGGATGAGTTGATCATGAGACAGAACAATCTTAAATATTTATGTACCTAATAACAGAATTCCAAAACATCTAAAGCAAAAAATAAATAAATAAATATCTTACAGGCCTGGTGCAATGGTTCATGCCTGTAATCCCAGCACTTTGGGAGGCTAAGGCAGGTGGATCACCTAAGGTCAGGAGTTCAAGACCAGTCTAGCCAACATAGTGAAACTCTGTCTCTACTAAAAACACAAAAAAATTAGCTGCACATGGTGGTACGTGCCTGTAAACCCAGCTACTTGGGAGGCTGAGGGAAGAGAATCACTTGAACCAGGGAGGCAAAGGTTGCAGTGAGCTGAGATCATGCCACTACACTCCAGCCTGGGCAACAGAGCAAGGCTCTGTCTCAAAAATAAATAAATAAATATAGATATAGATATAGATATAGATATAGATATAGATATAGATATAGATATAGCTAGATATATTTCCAAGGAGATACAGAAAAATCCACCATTATAGTCAGAGATTTAAATATCCCATTCTCAATAACTAACAGTAACTAGTAAAGGAACTAAGAAGGATACAGAAGAGTTGAACACTATCATCCAACGTAATCCAATTGACATGTATGAAACACTCTACCTAACAACAACAAAAAATACACATTCTTTTCAGGTGCACACTGAACATTTACCAAGATAGATCATATTCTAGGCCATAAGATAAATCTCAATTAATGTAAGAGAATTTAAGTAATGCAAATTATTTTTTTTGACCACAGAAGACTTAAATAAAAATCAATAAATAAAAAAAGCTAGCTGTGAGTAACATAGGAAACTATTAAATGTCTTCCCACAACTATCTTATTATAAGCATCCCTTTGGGTAAGTTCTGTTTCTTCTGCAGTAGATTTCATATTGCTCCATGGCATTACAGTCCTGCAGAGTGACAATCATGTAACAAACTGAAGTTTTACTGCTATTTCTTACTCTAGTCACTAATTGAGAATGGAAAAACCACTCAACTGCGATTTCCTTCAGAATCCATCCTCAGGATGAGACATGGAGTAGTCAATAAAAACTGCAAATGATAATGAAAGGCTATTCCAGACAGAAGAAAAACCATATGCTTAGAATGAAGAAGAGCCATGGAATATGTGGAAGAATGAGAGGCCCTACATGGCTGAAGTGCAGACTATAAGAAACAAATGGAAGAATACCACTATTGAGGAGGTCAAAGGACAATTTGATCACCATTTTTATTAAGTTCAACAAGACATTTTGCTATCTGTTTTATATATGTATTACATATAATACATATATTTATATATAAATTATATAATTTATCTAATAACATTTTTTTTAAGATGGATTCTTGCTCTGTCAACCAGGCTGGAGCGCAGTGGTGCAATCTCGGCTCACTGCAACCTCCGCCTCCAGAGTTCAAGTGATTCTCCTACCTCAGCCTCCCCAATAGCTAGAACTACAGGCAAGTGCCACCACAAATTAGCCCAGCTAATTTTGTATTTTAGTGGGGACGGGGTTTCTCCATGTTGGCCAGGATGGTCTCAAACTCCTGACCTCAGGTGATCCACCTGTCTCAGCCTGCCAAAGTGCTGGGACTACAGGCATGAGCCACCGAACCCAGCATAGTAACAACATTTTAAAGTAGACATTATCATCATTTTGCAAATGAGGAAACAGATTTAGTAAGGCTAACAAACTTGCTGTAGCTTGCTCAAAAAAAAAAAAAAAAAAAAAAAAAAAAGCATAGCTCTCAAGACCTATTTGACTTCAATCTGTTCCTTAAAATATTATTACTATGGTGCTTCTAAGTTCTGTGCCAAACTATATCATATTTTTATTTATTGTGCTCTTTTACTTTTTGCCACCACTAAAAAAATATATCATCATCTGATTCTGGACTCTTTCCAAGTTACCCTTCTATTCTACCATCTCCTAAACTTCTGTATCCTAATACAGAAAATTCTGTATAGTCTTCTCTAATAGTATTCCAATAGTATTTGAAATTCCACATTATTTCTCCATTCAGCTTCCTTCATGTGTATCCTCAAATTCACTTCACTGTTTCCACCATAATTTCAGTTGCTTCTATTTTTTGCCTTGCTGTCTATGGAAGTTCTCAAGGTAAGGAAAAATTCACAATCACCATCTGTTCCCCAATTTATATTAAATGGCAATTTTTCTTTAAACTACTTTTCAAATTATGAAACTTCACCTTTGTCTTTGAGCTAATTCTACCTTTGTGAGCTATGAATTTTTATCTTTTACTTATATATTTGGTTGCATGCCTATTAGTAACAAAATAAAGAATTAACGGCCAAAACATTTCTAAATTTTATGCACACTAAATATTTGCAGATGAAAGAAGCTTAACAAATCTTAAGCTCAAAAAAGAGAAAGAAAAGTACAAAATATAATCCCATTGCTCCAAACAAGTGATAAGAGAAAATCTAGGAAGCAGCTAGAAAAAAAAGATTCTTCAAATAATATACAAAATTTTGCCTATTATGGAGAGTTTTTTTACTGTTTCTATTTTTATTTGTTAGTTTATAATCACTCTGTTAAAAGTGACTCCATCTGGATACTCAGGGTTCTTACAACTCTACAATCTGTTATATTATGACCATGACCAAGCATGTGTCTCCATTGCTCAACAACAACCAACTCAGTTCTTAGATAATTACTATAATCATAATATAGGAAAGAGAACGGCTGACATCTTTTTTTTTTTTTTACATTTTCTTCCCAGGAATTCTTACTCATAACAAATATATGTGATTATTTATGGCATTACTGAAATTTTTATATATTAAGAAAATGCCTTACTACTAGTCTTTTTCCAGAACCAAGTTTTTGCTGTTCAGTCTCCTGCCTTTTATCTGCATCTGTTGCAAAAGCAAGTACTTGGTACCTGTATAAAAGAAATTTAAAAAATTGTAAATGAGTTTATAATTAAAAGTTATAAATTATTTTGACTTTAAAAGCACACGATAATCTATAAACGTTATAGAGCACTTTTTCCTTGTTTTTAAAAACTGTAAAATTTAATATTAAATTCTTATTGAATGACATTGTAACATAAGATTGTGTAAAATGTCATGATAAAGAAAGTTATAACCATATGTCCATTATTCAGTATTGGGAAAACAGCTCTACCAACTATCATGGCACTTCCATTAGAATTTTATGTGACAAACAATACTACTCATGAAATATCTAGCACCTAAACACCAAATAGAAAAACATGTAAATATGCAAAGCAGTCAGATGGAGTAGAAATTATCAATACATAATCTATGGAACCAAAAAGAACTCAGTTTAATCCCCAGTTTAACCACTTACTAAGTAAGTACATTTTTGGCAAATAATCATTCTGTGTCTAGCTTCCGCATCCATACAACAGAAAATAATAATCTCTAGCACAATCATTGTTAAAAGATTAAACAATAAATTATAAAAGTGCCTAGTAATTGGTATATAGTAGGTATACAATTATTGATTGATGGGTTGACAGACAAAGAGACAGATTTATACAGAGATAGAGATCAATCACCAAGGAATTTGTATCTGGTAGGTGAGTTCTCAGAAATAGACATTACAATCCATAAATATTTTACAGATTCTATTTCAACAGTGACATTTAGCTCAAATAATTCTTAAAAACAATTTATAAATATTATTCAATCTAGAAATGATCAATCTAGCTAATAAAGTTGAAATTTCTAAATTTCTCATTAACTGATGGCATATATTTAGAATAATAATCTTACTCTACATAAAGCAACTACAGGCTCACAGGTGTCTTTCCCTCTTATTGAATCAAAACTCACATTTTCTAAGAGACAGATATCTGAGAGTGTAAAAAGCAGGGACCTGAATGAAGGCAATGTGGCATATCTGAACAAGCATTGAAATGTACAATGGTCTTCAAATGTCATATACCAATTCTGAAAACATCCTATCTCAATCAAGAATAGTTCACTTATAAAAAACCTGTAACTTCAGTTGAATGCAGAATGACAATGCTTGAAGATTTTGCAAGACATATAAGCTGATGATAAACTTAACAATAGCTTATAAAAAATAGATCTTATAGTTAATATAAAAACTTAATGTATATAAATTCCATTAATTCCATACACTTACAGTAGGGATCTAATACAAACATTAGCAATGGAAAAACTACTACATGATCTAAATTCATAAGGAGCTCCCTTACTAGTTGTAGAGATTTATATATAGACAGCTAAGTATAACTCAGAGAATCCTGTGCTAATTAACAGAAGATATACACATAGTACCAATAGAACATGGTGGCAGTAACAAGTAATTGAGGTAGAAAATATATGCTCTTGGTATAGATTCAGGAAGAGAGAGCTGGGTTTTAAAGGATGAATGAAAATTCCATCATACTGGTAAAGAAAAAGAAGGCATTATGGTAAAGCAAATACACATGCAAAGGCATGCAGCAGTAAAAGAAACATGAAAGGCCATGAGAGGAGTTTAGGAGAGATGCATGGCAGGGAGGAATAAGTCATGGGGCACATGAAGTAAGAGGGAGAAAATCTCAGCCTGGTAAACCCATGCTACAAAGTCCTACAGGCAAATCTCTCTATGCCATCTGAGATTGACCTTCAAAAATCCCAAAGTCTCTAAAAGTGCAAAATAATTAGACTTCACATTCCGAACTCCAAATAGGATTGTTTTCCTATTCCCAATTCATAGTAATGAAAATAGTGTGCACTGGTGACTAGAACATCATCCCAGAGCTTGTCCTGCTATGGATCTAAGCCTTGGCAATTAATTACACAGGTGGTTCATTTCCTGCAGAAACCAACCGGCCAGGAGATAATATAGATATTCATGAGATTGTTGCAAAGGTCCAAAACTCTTTGAGATGTTTGAAGCTTCTTATATGGCCATTATTTCATCCAAGAAATGAGTGAGCCCCTAAAGTGGCCTCATTAACATTAAACAGCAGGCAGAGGCACAGCCAAAATTGAATACTGATTTCCAAATCTAAACCATTTCTCTTCCTAAAAGACAACTCAGAAGACTCTTTTATTACTTAAACTTGACAGTAAAATTAGATGATGACAAACTTACGAGAGCATCTATTTTATGGTTCTTCCTTGACTCCTCTTAACTGTAACCAATAAAGTACATAAAAATCTATTTCCAAGGCCAGACGCGGTGGCTCAAGCCTGTAATCCCAGCACTTTGGGAGGCCGAGGCGGGTGGATCATGAGGTCAACAGATCGAGACCATCCTGGTCAACATGGTGAAACCCCGTCTCTACTAAAAATACTAAAAATTAGCTGGGCATGGTGGCACGTGCCTGTAATCCCAGCTACTCAGGAGGCTGAGGCAGGAGAATTGCCTGAACCCAGGAGGTGGAGGTTGTGGTGAGCCGAGATCGCGCCATTGCACTCCAGCCTGGGAAACAAGAGCAAAACTCCGTCTCAAAAAAAAAAAAAAAAAAAAAAAAAAATCTATTTCCAAAACCAATTACAAGTAGATTTGGAAATTCTGAAATAAAATATTTGGATCTTTTTTTGTACCATTCAAGTGTTCGGTAACATAAGCTAATCAGGGCCGATATAACATCTTATGAAAGAGTGCCATTCATTCTCAGAACAGATAAGCACTAACCGCAACTACAGCAAATGCAGGTAAACAGTGGTGCTTTCTGACTCAATAACCACAAATGCTTAACAGGTCCTGTAGTGCACCAATAACAAACTCAACCACATAATTTAATATTCTTCCATACTGCATCATAAAAACAGCAGCAAATAACTAAAATACAGATTGAGGTGTCACGGAACACAGAAGTAAACCCTCCAATTTCATTTATTTTCAAATGAAACATAACTGTCACCTCAAGGAGTGGCAGGAAGTTTTGGAACCTTGATATGTAACTCAGAGCACTTTACTAGAAATGGAAGCTCTGGATACAGAGCATTGTTATGTCAATTTCAACTACAGCGAAAACATTCTTGACTGTCAGGGAGAAGCCTTTTCATTGGAAGATGCCAGGAGCAAAACAGAAGCCTTCTTTATACACTATTCACTCTTTTGTCAGTTCTCATTGAATACCTACTTTCACCAAGGTACAGTGCTAGGCACTTCAGGGGATACAGAATTCCTGCTAGCAAGCAGCACTGAGCCTAGTTAATGACAAAAATGAGCAAGAGGAGACATTGCTTACAACTAGGTCAGGTAAGAACTGAAGGGAGCAGGGAGACTTCACATAATTTCCATGTGCAGAGAAGGAAGGAAGAACACTTCAGACATAGGAGACAGTATGTGCAAAAACAAAAAAAGGAGAGTGAGAAAAGCCCTTAACATATATGGATACTACAAATTTCCATTTAGCCAGAGCCAAAGATTGGAGAAGAATATTTCTTTTTAAAATAGTCAATTAAATTCAACAAAAACACTTTTAAATATTTACTTAAGGCTGATTATTTACTTAGCAATGTATTAGGAGCTATTGACGGAATGCTGAGGAAGGGGTATAGCAGACAGGAGAGAATAACACAAATGGCAGGTATACTTTTTTAAGGAGCCTCCCTATATTCAACTCTTAGAGGTCCCATCTTGAGGCTTCCTCAGCATCCTGTGCAAAGCTCTGCAATAGTCTGTATCACAAATGGACTGAAGTAGCTGAGTGACTTCCTGCCTCCTTCAATACTAATAGAGGAAAGGAGGCACATCTATTTGACTGCATTTCCAGTACCTTGTACGGTATGTGGCACACAGAAGCCTCTTGAAAAATATTTGCTGAATGAATGACTGAATAAATTATTCAGTCAGTGAAGAGAGGTTTAAGACAGATTCTTCTCTCAAGAACCTGATAATGCAAGATCCTCTGGAAAATGTCAGTATAAGAAGGCAATATATGACATTAGCAAAAAATCAGTGTTTTAGGCAGTAATACAGCTAGGAGGTGAAAAAAGGAAGATAGTTGAACCAGCTACCCTTAAAAGTCCCTTCCAAGTCCAAAAGTCCACATCATAGAGGTACAGAGTTATTTAAGAGGTATTTATTTAAGGCTGATTATTTACTTAGCAATGTATTAGGAGCTATATAGAGAGGTATAAAGCATTAAATGTCAATATTTAAAAGTCTAGGTTTCTTAGTAATAAATAAAAATTATTCCAGCTTAAAGTGGTGTTTTAAAAGAAAAGGTATGAGAAGGACCCTTCAAAGTTTACAGAGGTAAAAAAAAAAAAAAAAAAAAAACTAAGTGAAAAAATACAGGCCTGAACCAATGAGAATGGGAAGGAAAAGCTGAATAAGAGAAACTATTAAGGGCAGAGATTAGTGAGTAAATAATTCTGAAAGGCAAAGGATAGGAAAAGAGAAGAAAAGATGATCAAAGTCTGGACATATATGTCCCAGAGAACAGTGGTACCAAAGCCCTTACCCCTACCCCAAGAAAAGGCAAACAGATCGAGAGTGGTGGCTCATGCCAGTAATTCCAGCACTTTGGGACACCAAGGCAGGAGGATCACTTAAGCCCAAGAGTTCAAGATCAGTCTGGGCAACATAGTGAGACCCCCATGTCTATATTTAAAAAAAAAAATTAAGGGCAAACAATTCTCTTACTTCAAAAGAAAAACTATGCTCAAAGTGTGTCCCTGAATTAGATTCATCTGGAGTAAGAATTCATAATGATGACTTCTGGGTCTTATCCTTAAACCTATTAAAAGAAATCTAGGGGACTGGGGGCTAGCATCTGTAAATGTGCATTTTATAACAGGGTGCCCAGGTGACTTCTACACACACTTAAGTTTGAGATCTGTAGCCTTCACTAGTTTTTATCTGAACATAATTAAGCAGGGTTTAAAGACATTAAGTATCAATATCAAAAATGAAAATAAGTTATGTGTTAAAAGCCTATTCTATTAACCAGTTATATTCTATTACCTGAATATAGACAGATTTAATAAAGCCTCAGAAGAACAAACTTATGGTTTTCATGCTTTCTCCCATCCAAAAATGCAGTAGTCATTGTCATTTAATATACTCTATTAAAGTTGAAAGCATATATAAGTACAACATACTACTTAATGTTATAAACCTTCTTGATTGTCATCATTTCACAATAATCTCATGCATTTTTACCATTATAAATGATTCACACAATGGATAACGTGTACATTTTTTAGTCCAAGAGAAAGATAAATTTAATAGATTGGTATGTTGGGGAATTACCACAGTTAAAACAACGTGAGCTTCTGTACGATTAAACTCACACATTAAGGAAACCTAACATTACTTCTTTATCTAGTCACTCCTCGAGTTATTATCAAATTAATTCCTATGCACATATTTCAAAGAGTAAGTAACTGGGTGTTTAAATATTTGTACTGTGACCCTAGCATAGTACTACTTGGCAGGAGGTGAGGCACAGAACTGGGTGGAAAGCTAAAAAACAGATCTCCTAATATTGCTCAAGTTTGGGAGGCTTGAGTAAACTATACAGATATTTTTTCCCAACCTATCAAAATAAATATAATATTTTATTTATTCCCACTATCTATACCACCATTCAATCATCTCCTTTGGACAAGAGCCACAAGAATTATAGAAGAAATATGACATGATGATACACTTCCTAAATCAGTTAAATTCTGCTTACTCACAAACATTCACTTATCTTCAGAGTTTTAACCCTAGATGACTTGACAGTCATTTACAAAAGGCAAATAGCGACTTATGAAGAGAAAATGCAATAACTTGCTATATATGCAATATTGAAGCTTGAAGACAAAAATTTACATCTGTTGCCAGATGAATTTATATCTTCTTCCCATCTTGGGAAAAATAATGTGACCAAAAATGATGCTGAAAAGTTATGATAATGTGTTGCTTAGATATTTAAAGTTCTAAATGTTGCCATCAGTAAGATAACACAATAAAGTTACTAAAGACATTGAAACCCTCCCATGCTATTTCTTTTCCCAGCATGAATTTCTATTTTCTTTTCCCCATTCTCTCTGCCAATAAAAAACATCCTCTCCAAAAACTCAAAACCTTGACTTTTATTTAAATCTAGCTGGTGGAGAAGAAAACAATCTCTCTCACATGCAATTTACCAAGACCAATCAGAATTTCTAGCAAATATAAGTTATTTGCCTAGGATCATTTTCATACTTCTCTTATACTTGAATTGTTCTTTTAGAAAAGTATTAACATTCATATTAACAGTTCATGCCAGTATTTCTTCCATTGCACACACATTCCTTTTTGTTATAAAAGCATTCCACAGATAAATTTTCAGTTTGGCTTTTTTCACTCAACATTGTGTTTAATTATTTATTATATCAAGGAGCAATCACGACAATTATTAAGCATTTTCTACAGGGTGGTAACTTGACATACATTTAATCCTTATTAAAAAAAAAAAAAAAAAAAAAAAACTTGTCAAAATGAGCACTATTACCTCCTTTAAAGCCAGAATAAGGGCAGTGACCATCAAACAGCTGGTAGTGGTAAAATCAGGATTCCTGATTGGAATCCTGCACTATATTGCCTTTCAGATACAATAAATGATACAGTTTAAGTAACCATTCATACTTTGTCAAAGAAACCAATCTCTTCTTCATTTGTGATATTGAATCTCTTTGTGGACAAAAATTAATCAGCAGCAAACCCACCAAAAATCATGAATCCAAAGATTTAACATCCAAACTTACTTATAGCTTTCCACTTGTCGGCAGGAAGAGACGGTAATGAAGGAATCTGTACGGGAACTGTAGGCAAGAGGGCCAGGCAGAAGAAAGCCAGGGAGAAATCTTCCAAAAGCATAGCTCTCCTGCTCAAATACCATCAGCATTCCATCTATAGACTGGATACAAATTAAATCTCGACCTAAAGAAGAATTAGAGGAAATTAGATGACCTATTCTTTTATAAATGTGAATAATAAAACATTTGTATTAATTACTATCTATACGTGTATGGCATAGTTAATTTTTTCTCCAAGGGGCAAAACTGGTAGTTTAAATTTTAAATTACAAACCAGTAAAGCTATCGAGTTACTGACATCAGTATACATACATTTCCCAATTTTTAAATTATTCAAGATATGACTTTAATTTTAAGTACATTTATTTTTATTTACTGTAGGTTAAAATCTCTTAGCTTAAGGTAATCCCTGAGGACTATTATGACTCTTTACCATTATCATCAAATTATTATTAAATAATTATTGAATTAAATAATTAAAATTATTAAATAATGACCCCATTATTTTCAAATTCAGAAATACAATAAAAACTGTTACTCGTGGAACTATTTATCTTTTTCAGAGTCTGGTAGTTTCATAATTTCATAATTCTAAGATGACTTAGATACCCATCAAACACAACAGACTAAATCCATAGGTATGTCTTAGGCACCAATTTTACATAAATCATACTGTTAAGCAGCATTGGGTGTGAAAAATACTAATAGTGAAAAATACTAATCCCTGATTGCCCTCAACTGTAGACTGATTTGAGATATCTTCTACCATTAGTCTATCAATATTAAATACAATATTCACAGTTCTTAAAATCTACTGAGATGATGGTAATGATTATGATTTCTATGATACAGTTTAGTATCCCTCATCTGAGAAAGGTCTAGTGGCTATAACTTTTCATGTCCTATTAGTGTGATTCATGTATCCTATAATGTATTATATAGGGAAAAATTATGTTAGAGAAAAATTAAGCTACTCATTAAGGGGATAAATAAAAGGCCAATCTTATACTTTGTCATCTCTAGCTCATACACCATATACAGTAAGTACTGTAGTAACTACTCTATATTACTTCGAATATCAGTGACAATCTTAATAGTATATTTAAATTTTAAGGAGTGTTCAAAAAGAAATCAAATTTCATAGAAATAGATGATACTCTTATTGTTGTATCTAAAGACAATCATACAGCTAAGCAACTTTAAAATAGAGCACATATCAACAAAGGAGACTAAAAAAAGAGAGAGAAAAAACAAACTGAGTTTTGGAGTGCCTATTCCTGCATTATACACTAACCCATTTCAACTGATACAATAGATATATCAACCTTAAATTGCCTGAAAGATGTTCTAGGATGAGTAATGTCTGCAAATGAATGTTCACTAAACATACATCTTAACCATTCAGGATGGTTCAGATAAAAATTGTATATTAATGCTGCTTGAAAAGTATTTCCTCAATACTCAGATTCGTTTATAACACATGGTAGGCTTTACAGTTACTTTTCTAAGCTTTGTTTTTAAATATTATCTTTATCCATTATGCTATTAGAAGTTTCCCAAAAAGATGTGAGTTTATATGCATGCTGTATGTGTATGCATGCTGTACATCTGTATTCACAGAGACACAATCAGACAAAAAGAATCCCATCTAGCTATTTGGAAGTCCTACCTGGCTGCAACTAGCAAAAATGAATACATATAAAAATGCCTCTAAGTCATTGAAAAAAATGCTACAAGGTCTTTGTAATAAAAATCATGCAAGTTTTCAAAGGTAGGATTCTCAGGTCTCACTAAGGGCATCAATTCCTATTTTAATTATGGTTCTAACAATTGTCATTTTTATAAACAAGTTACTGATACTCCTGTAGCTTCAGCCTTCTCATTTGTAAAATGAGTATATTTGTATAAGAGCTCCAAGGTTATCAGCTAATCTTCAGCAAAGGCGCCAAGAATACACAATGGTGAAAGAACAGTCTCTTCAATAAGTGGTGCTGGGAAAACGGGATATCCACATGCAAAAAAAAAAAAAAAAAAAAAAAAAAGGATTCTTATCTTACACTATACAACAAAAATTCACTCAAAGTAGATTACAGATTTAAACCTAAGATCTGAAATTATAAAACTCCCAAAGGTAAACATATGGTAAAAAAACTTCATGACACTGGTCTTGGCAATGATTTTTTGGATAGGACACCAAAAGCAAAAGCAACAAAACAAAAAAGGGGGGAACTAGATAAAACTAAAAATTTTCTGCACAGCAAAGGAAACAATCAACAAAAAAAAACCCTAATAGGAGAAAATATTTGCCAACCATACATCTGATAAGCAATTAGTCTCTAAAATACATAAGAATATAACACAAGTCAATAACAAAAAATCAAAACCACAATGAGATATCACCTTACATGTTAGGAAAAAAAGAAAGAAATCCAGCCATTTACAACAACATGGACAAACCTAGAGAATGTCATGTTAAATGAAATAAGCCAGACACTGAAAGACAAACACTACAGGATCTCACTCATATTTGAAATATTTTTTAAAAGTCAAATTCATAGAAACAGAGTAGCAGGGTGCTTACCAGGGGTCAGGGATGGGGAAAATGAAGGAATGTTACTCAAATGATACATACTGACAGTTATAATATGAATACATTCTGGAGACCTAATGCACAACATGGTGATTACAGTGAATAATAATGCACACTTATAATTTATTAAAAGAGTAGATCTTTGTTCTTACCACAAAAAAAAGATAATTATGAAAAGTGATTTATACATTAATTAGCTTGATTCTGGTAATCCTTACACAATATATACATATATCAGAACATCACATTGTACACCTTGAATATACACAATTTTTATTTGTCAATCAGATCTCAATAACGCTGAAAAAAAAAAAAAAAGAGTTCCAAAGTTAGAGGTAAGATGTCAAAGTTCCTAACACGGTATAGCACACATAAGGCACAAAATACATTATAGCATTATTAAGAAGGCTATTATTATCTGCTTCCCTAGCCCAGAAAAAAAGAAAGTGGTAAATTAGAAAAGGGGGATGAAGAAACGGTCAGCTGTGAGCAATGACAGCTAATATTCTAACAAAAAGAAAACAGAACATCTATAAAACATGCATCAAGTAATTCAAAAAAGAACATCAGTCTGGGCTCAGTTAGCATAGGAGCAATTATGACCCCTATATATCTCAAAAACAGAAATGTCATTATTAAGTGTATTTAGTATATTTTGATATAGCTCTTTTATTGCAAAAAAGAACTTGTAGCAGAGATGCTAACTGCTGCCCCCAACAGCCATTCTTCCTTTAGTAATAGAATCGTGAATTATATTAGGAAAGGAGGAAGTCAAATTGTCTCTATTTGCAGATGACATAATTGTATATTTAGAAGATCCCATTGTCTCAGCCCAAAATCTCCCGAAACTGATAAGCAGCTTCAGCAAAGTCTCTGGATACAAAATGAATGTGCAAAAATCACAAGCATTCCTATACACCAATAACAGACTTAAAGAGAGCCAAATCAACAACGAACTGCCATTCATAATTGCTACAAAGAGAATAAAATACCTAGGAATACAACTAACAAAAGATGTAAAGGACCTCTTCAAGGAGAACTACATACCACTGCTCAAGGAAATAAGAGAGGACGCAGACAGATGGAGAAACATTCCATGCTCATGGTTAGGAAGAATCGATATCGTGAAAATGGCCATACTGCCCAAAGTAATTTATAGATTCAATGCTATCCCCATGAAGCTACCTATGAACCTCTTCACAGAACTGGAAAAAACCACCTTAAACTTCATATGGAACCAAAAGAGAGCCTGCATAGCCAAGACAATCCTAAGCAAAAAGAACAACCCTGGAGGCATCATGCTATCTGGCTTACTATACTATAGGGCTACAGTAATCAAAACAGCATGGTACAGGTACCAAAACCGAGATACAGGCAATGTAACAGAACAGAGGCCTCGGAGGCAATGCCACATGTCTACAACCATCTGAACTTTGACAAACCTGACAAAAACAAGCAATGGGGAAAGGATTCCCTGCTTAATAAATGCTGTTGGGAAAACTGGCTAGCCATGTGTAGAAAGCAGAAACTGGACCCCTTCCTGACACCTTACACTAAAATTAACTCCAGATGGATTAAAGACTTAAACATAAGACCTAATACCATGAAAACCCTAGAAGAAAACCTAGGCAAAACCATTGGGGACATAGGCATAGGCAAGGACTTCATGACTAAAGCACCAAAAGCATTGCCAACAAAAGCCAAAATAGACAAATGGGATCCAATTAAACTTCAGAGCTTCTGTACAGCAAAAGAAACAATCATTAGAGTGAACTGACAACGAACAGAATGGGAAAAAATTTTTGCAATCTACCCATCTGACGAAGGGCTAATATCCAGAATCTACAAAGAACTAAAACAGACTTACAAGAAAAAACAACCCCATTTGAAAGTGGGTGAAGGATATGAACAGACACTTTTCAAAAGAAGACATATATGAGGCCAACAAACATATGAAAAAATGCTCATCATCACTGTTCATTAGAGAAATGCAAATCAAAACCACATTGAGATGCCATCTCACGCCAGTTAGAATGGCGATCATTAAAAAATCTAGAGACAGCAGATGATAGAAAGGATATGGAGAAACAAACATTTTTACACTGTTCGTGGGAGTGTACACTAATTCAACCATTGTGGAAGACAGAGTGGCGATTCCTTAAGGACCTAGAAATAGAATTTCCATTTGACCCAGCAATCCCATTACTGGGCATATATCTAAAGGATTATAAATTATTCTATTATAAAGACACATGCACATGTATGTTCACTGCAGCACTGTTTACAATAGCAAAGACCTGGAACCAACCCAAATGCCCATCGATGATAGACTGGACTAGGAAAATGTGGCACATATACACCATGGAATACTATGCAGCCATAAAAAATGATAAGTCTGTGTCCTTCATAGGGATGTAGATAAATCTGGAAACCATCAATCTCAGCAAACTGACACAAGAACAGAAAATCAAACACCATATGTTCTCACTTATAGGCAGGTATTGAACAATGAGAACACATGGACACAGGGAGGG